GATCCGGAGATTTGGAAAATGATCTAAATATCCGTTTCTGACCAGTTGATTGTTAGGATTCTGAAATTCGAAGGCTCAAAATTCGAAATCAATGGATCTAGGACTCAAAGAATCGCTTCTAGACGCTTCGAAACATCCGAAGGATCTAGAAAGATCGATTCCAGTCAAGAGAAATGACTGCCCTCTCTCAATTCTGAACGAAAACATGATGATGGTGTTCTTCAACACATCAAATGTATTCTTCTTCTTCTTCTATTTCATCGTCTTCTTCTTTTTCATTGATATCAGTTATCATATCACACACACAACTGACAGGTCATATGGCTTCTCTTTCCTTCCTCCCTCCCCCATCCAAGTCATTTTTCTCCCCTCTCCCGCCCCACCAACGAAAACAGCTTCCGCCTCTCTTTTAAGAAGGTCATGGTCACACACCTTTGATCGCTGGCCTAGAATATAGGAGTTTTCTAGGCCACGCTGCGGCGCGATCATGTGGGGAGGAGAAGTGGGAGTGGTGGCGCTCTTTGTTTGCCTTCCTTCCCTCCGCCTATTTTTTTTGTTCGTTTTCGCTCTCCTCCTCCTCTTCTCTTTCATACTTGACGTCGCAATTTCGTTTCGACACACCAGCCCCCCTCCAACACTCCTCCTCCTTCTCCCCAAATGACTTTCTCTCGCTTTTGAAACTGTCAAAACGGTTGGGCGGGTTTTTAGAGGGGTTGGAAGGAAGGAATTGGCAACGGAGGTAGTTGAAGAGGTTGGAAGGAAGGACGAGGATTTGGAAAGGTTCAGAAGCATCGTGAGGTGTCTGTTGAGATTCAGGAAGACACTCGAAGTCATCTCGATCATTTTGCAAGAATCTGAAAGGATCGTAACCTTTAGAAACATATTGGAGCATCTCAATGACACCGGGAGCAGCTCTAGGAAGAATTGGGAAGGAACGGAATCCCCATCAACGTCTTAAAGCGTTTAAATGACTCTGTAAGCAAATGAAGGTCTTCGGATGGGTCAGAGTATTTTAGCAGCTTTCCAGGATGTATAGCCGACTCGCAGGCAGCTGGAAATCGTTCTCAGACGATTTTTAAGGAATCTGGCAGGATCAGAACCTTGTAGAAGCATGTAGAGACGTCTAGAAAGCGGCTAAATGGCTCTGGAAGCAAACTGGAGGTTCCCGGGTGGGTTGGAAGGTTCTGGAATGATGTGGAAAGATTCAGAAGCGTCGTGAGACATCCAGGCGACTCAAAGGCTACGAATCAGAAAGAATTGGAACCCTCTGGAAGCATCTGAAGGTCTTCGGATGGGTCAGAATGTTCTAGAAGGGTTTTTGGAGGGTTCGGAAAGATCCAGACGCATTGGAAGGCAACTGATGAGATTCAGAAGCATCATAGAAGGATTTTCGAAGGATCTTAACCTCTAGAAGTATCTAGGAACATCTGGAAACGTCTAGAAGCAAAATGGAGGTCTCCAGAATGGTTGGAAGGTTCTAGAAAAGCTTTTCAGGACATCTAGATGACTCGGATGGTACTCGAAATCGTACTGAAGCGATTTTTAAAGGGTAGAGACTACCAGAGACAACTAGAAGCTTATCTGGAAGCAACCGAAGGCTTCTGGATGGGCTAGAATATTCTAGAAGGCGTTTCTCTCAGCTTGAATCAATTTGATAATCTATCGGCTGGCCACCAGCAAAAATACTAACATCTCCAACGGACTACGGTAGCTACAGTAGCTAATCTACGGTCAGCTTCTATGATCCACTTACGCAGTGCTGTGAAAGTTTGAGCAGCTGAGTTGGCAAATGCTGAATATGGGCGGTCCTGGCTACTCGAAAGTACTCTGTCTAGCGAAACGAACACATGGTCCATCTGCGATGGCAGATGTGGCATTTGATGGGGATCTAACTAGAATCAGCGGCGTTAAGGGTTCTCTAGAAATCGTTCAGCTTAAAGAGAAAACGCCACCGAAAATCTTTAAAAATGGATCTAAAGAGCATGAATTTTTACTGGGTTTTCTCTGCTCCTCCTCTCTCTCTCTCTCTCTCTCCCGATCCAAAAAATTAACGAGCAATCGAAAAAAGAAAGTGAAAACGATAAGGAAAAAGAGCAATCACATTTGTTTTGTGATTTGTTTTTGTTTAAAAAATCGGGGAATTGATTTTTGCAAATTGGCATTTCTGGCTCCGCCCATTGAGCGAAGACTCCGCCCACTGAACTATAAGAAAAATGGTGTTGTCAATTTATCGATTTTTGAGCTCTAAGACCCCGCCCACAGAGAAATGTCATTTCAAGGGCTTTCAGGATTTTGCAACACTAGTTTTTACAATTCTAGGCCACGCCTCCTTTGTCTTTCTCATTGCTCCTTGATGGCGAAAAAGTAGCTGGCCTAGAAATCCAAAAATCTAGGCCACCACGCCCATCTCAAAATTTTCCCATACAACCCTCCACCTGCCTTTCTAATTAATGAAGAAGACATCCCTCAATCAATTAATTCGGCGTACCCTCTCAATTCACCATACTCTCTCGCTGTCTCTGCGTCTCTTCTCTCTCGCTTCCGAATCGACAGTCATCACAGAAAGGGAGGCAGAAGAGACCCCTCCCCTCGATTTTTCCCTGTCTCCCGCCCCATTCTTCTTCTTCTTCCTCTCTCTCACAGCGCATTGACTACGGCTTTGTATGCTTAGCCCCACCCTTTGCGATTTGGGGAGGGTACTCTGCGCTCTCTTCGATTTGCACACTCTCTCTCTCTCTCTCTCTCGGTCGTTTTAGGATCCCAGATTGTGTCATTGTGAGGAGGAGACAAAGGGCGTGTCCTGTCTTCTCTTCACCTATTTCTTTTTCATCGTTGGGCTTGTTATAGAAAAATCGATTTTGTGGGACCTAGATTTCTCGAAACTTGAATTTTCGCGGGCGAAAATTTTGAACTTCTGTGAGAGAAAATCCGATGAAAATGCGATTTTTGCATTCAAAAACCCGGGACTTTTCGACTAAAATCGAAAATATCAAGAAAAAAATTCATTTCTAGATTCGATTTTAGACTGGAAACAATTGGAATTTGTTACGAAAATCTCGAATTTCGAACAGTATTTTGCCAAAAAAAATTCTAATTCCCGCCCATTTTTTTTGCAGTTTTTGCACTGCAAAATTTTTGAAAATTCGGATTTTCAAATTTAGAATTTTGGCTAAAATTCGAAAATTGTAATTTTGGAAATTTGAAAATCAAAACCTCAAAAATTCAAATTCCCGGCCTTTTTTTTAAATTGAAAATTCGAATTCCATATTTACCCGCTCATTTTTCAGTGTGAAATTTCAGTGTTTTTTTCTTCAGAAATTCGTTTGAAAAATTTCGAAAAAATTTGAATTTCAGCTGAAAATGTGATTTTTCGAGCTAAAATTGAAATTGTGAAATTTTTGAAAAAATTCAATTTTCCTATTTTCCCGCCCATTTTTTGTGTTTGCACCCCGCCCAACCGCCCTGGACCGCCCTC